CAACCAACCAATCAACCAACCAAACAACCAACCAAACAACCAAACAATCAACCAATCAATCAAATAATCAACAAACAACAAGCAACAACATCAACATTCCATTTTCGTAAAGTATATTTGTCATTCTACTTTTCTGCTTCTCAATTGTAAATACTAACCCTCTTCTAAATTAAATTCTTCAGGAATAAAATGAAATTAGTAAAAAAAAATCTGTATTTGCAGGCTAAGCCAACAAATGCTTTCGAAAATTTTTTTTTCTTTTTTTTGTTAAAGAAAGAAATTTGAAAGTGGGGAAAATGATGATTGATTTTGTATTTTTGTTTTTTTTTTTTAAAATACTTTTTGAGATGATTCTAAATTAAGATATACAAAATGGAATAATCATTTGGTAAATGCCATTATGAATCATCCTGTTTACACTCATTTAATAGCTTTATTTGATGCATATAACATATAATTAGCTTAAATGCTATGAATTTTATAAATATTTAAGCGTTATTGTGGTGTAGATTTAATGAAGAAGAAAAATTGGAAATGTTTGAACACATCAAAGATCCTTCCGAATAAATTTCCTTTATTTTTTCTTTCTTTTGAAAAATAACACTGGGCATTATTTTTCCTAAATTATTTATAATCTTTTTTTCACTTTCAAAAATTTAGCAAATTTTACTTTACGTATATTATATACATATGTACTATGAATTTGTTGAGTAGTGATTTGAAATTTAAGAGGCATGAATTACCGAGTCGTAGTAAATCCGAATTCGTGCTAGCTGTGGATGAAGTGAGTCTCACATTCTTAAGATAATGAATTAAAAATTAATTTTCCCATAACCATTAGGAAAAGTAATAGTATTACTAACTTTATAGATCTTGAAAGGACAAAATTTTGTCACTTTTTGTTGTTGCAAAATTCATTTAATAACATTGTTTCATGCAGAATTTGTTTCGGGGAAAAATGAGTTAAAATAAGAGTGATTTTTTATCAAATTTGAAACTTTAACTTAAAAGTTTATTTCTTTTTTTAACAAAACAAAGCATTAAAGAATTGACGATGGATTAATTTATAAATAAATATAAGCGTATGAGAAAAAATCTTCGGTAAATGAATTTATACGCAAGCAAATCAATGAATAACAATTACAAATTTATAGGATTTATGCATTAATTTAACATTACAATATTTTTAAAAATTAATGATTGAAGCATACGGAGCTAAATATATTGTTGATTTCTGAATATTCACCCATTTCATTGTCATTATTAAATTGATATGGTTCATTTAATTAATAAACAGAATTCATTCGATTATTTGATGAAAATTCAGCGTCAATTTTATCATTTATTTAATTCGACATTCTTTAAGGAAATAAATTTCAAAGTTAGTCCATAAGTAAATATTACTTACTAACAATTATAATCTTCTTGCATCTTCTAACTTCCATGAAAAATTCACTGTTTTATTTTGCTTCCAAGCGATTTTAAATCCAACAAAATCCATTGCGCTAATTGCTGTGCAAAATTTAAAAATTCTTGAATAGAATTGAGAATTTGCCTTCCATCATCTAATCAATTTTCGCGCTTCAAAAATTTCCATCTTTTAACGTTAAAAAATTTAAGCTATTTGAAGTAAAATATATTCTAAAATTTTTATTTTCCTCTTTCGACGATTCCCTTTCTCTTACCTTGCAATTTAAAAACCTTTCTCGAACTTTTGGAATTGCGATAAGTAATTTAAAAATGTTTTTTTTTTTGCACAGAAAATAGATTAAACTATCCTCCAACACATCGCCCATTGCTACATATCAATCCCGGTGAGCAATCCAGAAATGTTGAACAATTTTCGGTCACTTTTACTGAAACAAATTACCATTGAGGGATTTTTCAGGAAAAAAAAATCAATCAATTTGAAATGATAATTCATTAATTGATATGAAATTATTTTCAATTTTTACCAGTTTTTCGATGATTTACAGTATTATAATCAATGCAAATTCCATTCTGACATACATTTGGCTCATTCTGAGGGCAATCCAATGCTGTTTTACATATCACCTCTTGAATGCAAACATTTTAAATAAATATGTTTTTTTTTTTGTTTAATGAAAGCTAAAAATGAGATATTGATTGAAATAATGTAAACAAATTCACCGAAATTTATTTAAGCATTTTTTAACAAATTAAAAAGATATTTCCGTATCACAATGATAAAAATGAATTTCCAGTGATTTTTTGTGAAATAGTTAAATGTTTCAAAAAAAGATTCAGTAATTTTTCTTCTAATACTCAAAACCTCAAATGATTTCTTGAAGTTGTGAAATTTCAGGTTTTAAAAGAAAATATAAATAACAATGAATTGTAAGCATTTGTCATTTTGAATGGATTATTTAGACTGAATAAAGCTTTATAATTCATTCATCTTACAAACATACTTGTTTTGTGACTTTTTTCCCATTTTGGTAAGCAACATTTCACTGTCACAAATAATGAAAGTGATAGTATCAGCAAATATTGTATTAGCATAAAATTTTTTGAATGAAAATTGATTAATAGAATATGAACTGAAAATGGGAAAATTTTAAATTAGACACAGATATAGGATAGCATCATTTCCTGCAATGGTTAAAACTGCGGAAATTTTAACTTTGAATACGTTAGCTCAAAAGCTCTTCTTATCTTATTGCATTCGAAGAAATAAACAAATTTGCATAAATCAGTAAATGAGCATTCAGCAAACGTAAGGCAATCATTTCGTTTTTCAATCTCTCACAGTTAGAAAAAAAAATGAAAAGTGACAGAAAATCGATGGAATATTTGACAGTGCTGGAATGATGAGTTTGAATATGAATGGATTGTTTGGAAGAAACACTTCGAGAGTGTAATTTCCCTCGAGATGTCTCTTCGAATGATAATAATGCATCCTTCTCCTTGTATTTCTTTCTTTTCGCCAGATTCAAAGCCTTTTTTATGGAAGTTTTTTTTTTTTTTCGTAAAACATATTCAGTAACAAACTTTTTTTAACAAAAAATTTTCATACCAGAAAATCAGAAAGAATGCTGGTAATTAAACTGATGACTAATTTGATTCGATTGAAATGCAATTAATTCAATTTAAGCAAGATTGATTTATTTTAATTTATTCCTAATTTATCAATTTAACTATTCCATCTAAAACTCCCTGATTAATTCATCTCTCCCAATTTCAAATGAACAACATTAGCGCAAATAATTTCTTTGAATCACAGGCATGGGAATTGATTGCATAAATTTGTGAATATATGGAAATTTCGAAGAGAGAGAGAGAAAAAAAAAAACGAGAAAAACGGGCTGAAACGACCATAACTTCCATTAAATAGAAAGAAACTAATGCAAAAGAATACATAACGCAAAAATGCTTTTTTTTTTTCTTTTTTAATCGAATACGATCCAATCCAATGATTCATAACTTTGATATAAATTGTTTGATTTATTTTTTTTCTCTTTCTCTCTCTCTCTTTCGAAGATAATGTAGGATTGTTTTATCAGATTTTGGTTACTTTCATAATTTGTAGCAACATTGACTGGATTGATGAATAGCTAGGAAAATAGATCAATGAATTAGTTTCGAGAATTAATATCGAGATAGAAATGAATAATAAAATCCTGAAAATTTAAATATCCCGGATAGGTCAATACCTTAGCTACCAAGGAAAAAAATAACGGAGAAAGACGTTCATATTTTTTCCTCTCTCATTTCATTTTTCATATTTTTTTTTTGCGACTTTATTTAAAACTTTATTAAAACTAAACAAGAAGCAGTTTTTTTTTCTTTTTTAATTTGATGAAAAATTCTCAATTTACACTTCTGATTTTATAATTTAATTTTCTACCAAATATTTCTCAGTAATAAAATTTTGAAAAGATTGTTAGAAACGATAATTTTTTTAAAAAATAAAACTGTCAGCATTCTTTGCTGTAATATTCGGTAAGATAATGATTTATAGTTTTCTGTAAACCATCTTTAAACGATGTAATGCTTTTCCAATTTAATTCTTGAGAAATTTTTGTAAAATCAATACAGTAACGTTGATCATGGTATGGCCGATCTATTATGGGCTCGAATTGCGGTGAAGTTTTATTCCTGGAAAATTATTTAAATTTAAACTTTTTATATCTTTCACATTTAGTGGAATTAATAAAATATGAAAGAATAATAAATAACTCATTTACAACTTATTTTTTCTAACTTCTTCAGATCAGAAAAGATTATCATTACTGAGATAAATTAGTACTTTTATTATCAAAATGCATAAAGAATATATTACAAATATACATAGATAAATTTAATAATGCAAAATTTAACCGTTTCAGTAATTCATTGACACATTCATGAATCATTATAGTGACATCATAATTGGTAATTTCGAATTCTGTTCCAATATTATAAATTTCACCAATTTTGCCTATTTCACATACACGTCTGATTGCATCGATGCAATCATCCACGTATATCCAACTTCTACAATTCCTCTTTAATTGCTATCTGTTGGAGATGATTAGCACAGAATGAGACTTACAGAATAGATGTAATTCCGAAAAATTTTAAATGTTTCCTAGTATTCATTTAATAATTACGGAACAAAAATAAACAGATAAATTAAAATCTTCATGAAATTAAATGAACATAGAATGAAATAAAATTAAAAATTAAATTTTCCAAATAATTTTGGAGAAAAAAAAAAACATTCAACCTTTTATGCATTCCATTACCCATCAATGGATATGGTTTTCCTTCCACTGCCAGTGATATAAATTTTGGAATTAATTTTGTTCGAGTTTGATTTGGTCCATAAACATTATTCATTCGAATCATTACAAATGGTATTTTGTATGAATGCTATGAAAATTTTTTTTCTTATCGCATCAATGATTAATTTTTTTGAAAGATATAAATGTTTATACAGTAATAAACATTTATATCTCTCAAAATAAATTCCTTTAAAAAAAAAAATAAATTCTTTTTAACAGAATAGAATGCTAAAGTATGAAAGCTATCGATTGATTTTCTAAAACTCAGTGAAAAAACTCTATCATTAATTAATCGATACATATATTTCGATGGTTTAATTTAAAATGTGCTAAAAAAGTACACGTTTCAAACAATCACAAATGAAATTAAATTTTACCCAATAAGCATTGAGAATCATTTCACAACAAGCTTTACTAGCCGCATATGGATTTGTTGGATTAAGCAATGAATACTCCATTTTTAGTACACTTCCTTCTTCTGATTCACCATAAACTTCATCTGAACAAAAGAATTTTTCCGTATGAATTTAACAAATTTCAACATCTCATTATGAGATGAACTATTTTGAAATTACAATATGATATCTTTTCATCTAAATTACTTATCATTTTTAAATTAAAAAGTAATCATTCTGATGAAATCAATTAACAAATTTTTCATATTTAACATAATTATAAGCAGCTGTAAAAGAATAATAGGAAAATTTAATAGTTAAAATGTTATATTTAGTTAACACTGAATTTTTGGCCATCAATATATCTGATCAATTGATGGATGGGTAAATCCATATCATTTATAACAGACAATATCAGTGTGTCTAATTAACAGAAATAAACATTAATATATGGAAAATTAAAATTTAAAAACTAACCAGTACTGATATGTACAAATCGCTTTATGCCATTATATTGAAATGCAATTACTTCCAATAATATTGTCATTGACATTGTATTTTCTTCAATGGTACCAATTCGATCGATGTATGATTTATCAACATCTGTTATTGCGGCAAAATGTATGATTGTATCAATCTGGAAGATATATGTGTTTGATTGTTTGTAAATTAAAATAAGTATGAAATAAAAATTATTGTTATCATTAAGATAATGATACTAAATAATAGCAATCTACAAAAATTATTTAAATTATACACTGTTAAAGTGATAACAAAGCAATGGACAAAGAGATTGGTTATTTTATATGATCAAGTATGTTTTAAGATACTATTATAATAGCTAATTAATGTAATCACCTGATAATCTTGCAATAAACGTAGCAACAAATCAATATCTCGAATGGTTCCCTTAAAAAATTTGTAGCGATTTGATTGTCGAACTTTAGCAGCTACATTTGTCTCTCGAATTTCGTATGTTAATTTATCGATGTTAACAAATCTAAAATAAATTTTTCATTTACGTGATGCATTTTTATAAACTATCACAGAGATATTGATCTAATGATAAATCAGCACGATATTTAGATAATCAGTTAATTATATTTTAAATAAAAACGGCATACCTTTATATCATTTAAATCAAAATCACGAGCCCAATGCAGAATGATATTGGCTTTGCCAATTTTTTTTTTCAATCCTAGATTTGATTTAGAAACGAATTAAAAAAGAAAGTTACCTTGTTTTGTGCCATTTTTGAAACATAGAACTGATAAAATTGGAGCCAATAAATCCACAACCACCAGTTATCAATGCTGAACTTGGTTGGTACGACATTTATCTGCACGACTTCTTTTTTTTAATTTTATTTCGTTTCATTTATACTCTTAGATTTTAAAATTTTACAAGATAACAACTGCGCAGGGAGATACTACAAATAAGCAAAAATTTTCCAAGAAATTTAATTCCACTGTTTTATCTAGTTTTAGAAATGTTAGAAAGAAAAGAACCATAAAACCGCCTACTAACTTTTGCATAATCAAACAATACATGATATGATATCGATACATGGTATTGATATAAGATATCTCAGAAAAGCTTTGCTTGATAGCTCATCAAAATTGAAACGATCTAGCCGATTCCAAAAGATCTTAGTAAATTATGAGTTAAAATAAAACGGAAACAAACAAGCAAACAGGAAATAAAGTTTGAAAATAGTCAGATTAATAATATTAAAATGAATTAACTATTAAATGTATGAACAAAATATAATGTCGGGACAAATGAAATTTGATTAAAGGAGAGAAATCATTATCATTAATCTGACCTACTTTCACTGACCCATTTCAAAGATCACTTCTAAACTATCATATTGAGATAGAGTTAGCTTTCCTTGTGACAATTTAAATATATAATTATAATTTGCATAATTGAAAAGTTCATACAGATTTAAACATAGCAGAATATCATTCTGTTACTAAGCAAGTCAGGAGATCACTGACCTTATATTCCAATCATAAAGTAGGAAGGTATTTGTTTAGTTAAAACAATGAAAAGATATCATAAAAATTAGAGCAGATAATTACTGATAAGAAACAATACGACAAAGTTGATTCCCCTAAAAAAATTGTTTTCAGAATCCGCTCCTTCATATTCAGAATCCGGTTTTATGATTTTCATATAATCCTGTTAGTGTCACTTAGAATTGTATCACTTTTAAAGCCGTTATTGTCAATGTATTTACACTCTCTAAAGCAAATAAATACAATGAAATAAGTTTTTTTTTCTCTTTTTCTCTTTGGTTAAATTGTAAACTTCAGGATAAGATAAGATCATCCTTTAATCGATCTATATTATGGGTTCATATCGTTTAAAATACTTTTGAAACAACAACAGGTTCCAGTAACATACAATAATTCACAGTTTTTCAGCAACTGATTGATGTCAGAAGGAAAAAAGTAACTTATTTTCTGCACTTCATAAAAGGAAAATTTTATAAATAATTAAAAAAAAATACTTTCATTTTAATTGAAACTTCTGAAAGATCCATATTCATCTGAAGTATTTTTTGATGTAATAAAGAGATAGAAATGCTGAAATAACGCAGCTATCATTTGCTTGATATAAAATCATTATCAGGAAATAACTTTAAAATATGCGGAAATTTTTTTTTTTTTGGTATAGCTATTACACCATATATATTGACAAGGAAATTATTCAATTAAGTGATTTATTTTTTGCATTTCATAAAAAGAATAATTTGTCAATAATTTATAAAAATATTTTAATGAAGCTGAAAGTTCTGAAAAACCCATATTCATCTTAAGTATTTTTTGGTGTAATAAAAGGATGGAAATGATCAGATAACTTTCCCACAAAGATGTTTATGCTTATGCGAAAAAATAACACTATTAATAAAGTTTTAGATTAAATAAAGGAACTCCTCGTACTATTTCAATTTCATCTATTCTCATTGATAAATTTGGCTGGTTTCCAACTTCTTTCTTAATTTCCTTCGTTAAATTTCTAGCAAAATGAGAAAAAATAAAATAAAATGAAGAATTCATATTACATATTCAAGGAAATCACAATTGGATTATTTAATTCCTCACTACATTTCTCGCTCATGTAATTTGTTATTTAGGCACTCTTTGAAACATAGCATAGACTTATCAATCAGGAATCACGATCATATCCAATTCAGTAGTGTGGAAAAGAATTGATATTTACTAGCAGTTTTTTTCGTTGTCCATTTACTTATTGTATATTATTTCTTTCTACTGCTTGAAATCTTGTAAACAAATCAATTTATCAGAAAACATCATCAGAATTTAAATCATTTTTGATTTAATATAATATGATAGAGAGTAATAATAGGTATGATCATATTTGCTTTTTCTTTCGTTTACACAGATTACTATTTTCGTTTTGTTCACTTTTTAGTCATTTTAAATGGCTATATTCAGTTTCATTTTATCTTAAATTTTTGTATAATAATATCTACGAGACATACTTCAACTTTCCGAAATTAGTTGCCAATCAGTTCCTAACATTTTTAAAAAAGAGTATGAAACTTCTGTTTTTTCTTTTCATGATCACTTTTATTCAACAAAAACCGGTAATCCAGTCGTTCAACCAATCCTTTCGTGTGTTCACAATTACTTTGCAAAATTATCCTATACAATATGTTAAATACTGCATGTGATAAAACAAGTTTATCACATGCAGTATTTAACAATAGTTTTGCAAACTTCCTCATTCCATTGCTTTGCACTGTTCCCTCTCATTTTTGAATTTTTGGATTTTGAACAAAAATTCTCACATTCAAATAACTGCAGAAGAGTAAAAGCAATTCACCGATCGATTAGCTACTACTGAGAGGAAGGCTTTCAAATGAAATATATTAATATATGACACAACACCTATTATGACCTTTTGTGGTTGAGGGAGGATAATTCTCACAAATTCTTTGAAAGCAATCACTGTCGTGAAAATTTTTTGTTAGCTTCATTCTGATAGATTCTTATGAGATATTCAGTAGAGGGATTGCAACTCTTCTTTGTTGAAATGTTGGTCCGTTGATTATGAAATAAGGGTTGAGTCCTATTCCAATATGGTTGTAGCAGAAGAACGATGTGAAGCCATGCGTTGAATTGTACTTTATTGCGAATGACACCCCATGTTGCAGAGCAAAACAAGACTTAATGAACACAAAACCAAAACTTCAAAAAACTAGAACTAAAACTTGACTGGATTGGTAACTCGACTTTCATATTGAATTCGAAGGTTGGACCAAAGACAAACAATGGGTTAATGAGATTTGTGTGACCTGACCTAACGAACAGATAACTAATAAACTAGACAAAGGATAGGACCGACATGATGAGTTATGAGTTGATAAGATTTCTGGCGCTTGATTTACTATAATCAAAAGGTCAATGTGAGATTACGAAATCTGAGATATATTTGGCTCATATTTCGGTTTCCGACAATCACATTCTCTACAACTATGTGGATTTTTTTTATCCCTTTGTCACTTAATAACACTCTCATTCATGTAAATAAGTGCTAAAAAATCATGAAGCACTCACATTATTTAGATTCAACAATGAAAAGTTTGACCTCAAGCCGATTTCTTTCAGCTACTCATTCATCCTACCTTAGATCATACCCGACCATCACAGAACCTGTCTTACCAGTGAGGTCCTAAATATAGCACATCAAAGAACTCCATTCAAACACACGCTCAACACATACACATACGCGCTCCGCAAACCACCACGTCAAACTCACGTACGTCTCAAGAAATCACATTGGTAAATTACACAAATCAGAATTGCGGCCGCGTAATGTAACGGACGCCCAGCTATTGCAGCGCTATAATTAGGCAAATGAGGCATCGATTGGTGTGAGTACCTGTATTGGCGGGAGGATTGTTGTGGTCGGTTGTGGCGTCGTGAGTGGCAGTGAACGTTTAAGGCCTATTCGTTTAGTTGATATGGTCCGTAAAGGCTTATTGTCCAGTAATTATCTGCTTGATATGTTTAGAGATTAGCAGTGGAGACATTAGCAGTCAAATAAGAGCACGGAAGTTAGCTATAATTCACGGTAAATTTGGAGTAAAATTTTTAATGAAAAGAGTGAATGACAGAACGCATATACGATCTATAGGATATTATCGTTGTTAAGTTATCATCCACTCCTCCTTCAACCTTTTTTTTTCTTTTATCTGAGAAAAGGGAAAAATTTTTGTGTAACATCTTTGTGAACATGACAGATAACATACTAGTAGGTCCATTGATTTATTGACATTTGTCTATCCATAATGGTCACATTTGTTTCTCTTTGAAAGAAAGTAAGAGGTATATGAATCGTGCGGAGTTTAAAATATTCTATCAATCTTTCTTTACTGCATGCTTTTCGTTGCCAACAACATTGTGGTATTTTGAATACGGTGGGCGCAGATCTAATCTCTTCGATTCTTTTTCGTATATGAATTATATGCATTTCCTCCCACAACCGAACGTTTCACTCTTCTCTTAGCACATTGTTCAGAACATTAGTTAATGATTCATCATTTGATAGCAGATGACGTCGATATTTCGTCATATTTTTATTCGAAATTTTTATCAATTCCTATATGCTTTTATTTTATTGGAAAATCAAATGAAATATAAAAGTAAAATTATGCAGTTGTTGATTAGTATTTTAAGGAAGCCATTCAATTAAGTTGGTTATTGATAGTGGGTACAGTGCATTTTTGCTAATGCATAGGATTTAATTCTAAATAAAAATTAAAGAGAAATGGTGATGACATTTGTTATCGGCCTATATTTCTTTTTACATCATTTTTTTCATTTATCAGTTCCAGATTGTTTTAGGTGGTTAAGAAGATATGGATTCACCCCCTAAGAATATTATAGCAACTCCATCTGCATCCGCTGGTGATGCAGCACAGCGATCTCAGTTAAAAGAACTGGATCAGTGGATCGAACAGCTCTACAACTGTGAGCAGCTTTCTGAGAATCAAGTGAAAATTCTATGTGACAAGGTTATTTTTTTGAATTTTTCAAACATATAAAATGAGATAGGAGGTTTACTGCCACAATATAGACTGTTTTTTTTTCTTAAATAAGACGTTATACATCATATTTTTGTCCTTAATTGATTATCTGGGCATCAAACCAGATTAATATTGTTCCATTACTATTAATGGTTATCGAGAGTCACAAAGTATTGGCTTGCAAAATGAACTCTGAATACTTTAAGATACATTTTTATCATTTTTAGTACTATTTATAATAGGTCCCCAAGGCTTTCAGTGATTTCCATATTTAGTTGTGGAAGTATAATGCTTCTTTCTATTTTTCTATGCATACAATATCCATTTTAACATCTCTCGATTTTTTCGATCACAAAATTACAATAATGTTCCATATGCTAAAGAGACACTGTCTATTATGTTAATGATGAAATTCGATTTGAATGGATACTGCTACACATTTAGTAGGTAGTAATTCTCTCTGATTTAGGACTAGGAAAATTTAGTGTTTACTTAACATTTGACTAAACCTTAACAAGTTTGAGCTACCATAATATTATTTGAGAGATCTTAATAGTTTAATAGCTTATTTTACTGCTTGTAACAATGTTTGGTTGGGTTAGTACTGTTTACTTTTGTTTTCACTGCAATTCCATGATTTCGATTTCATCTACAATTTTACAAGAACTTCGTTTAGTTGTTAAATGGTGACATAAATTAGGCCATATCTGCTGCGTAAAATATGAACACCGCATGTATTAAATATTTCATCTGTTAAGACCGAACTAGACTCTTCACTGCAATAATAGGATACTTTTAAGTCATTAGAAATCCTAGAAACATTGAACATACTCCTGATGTGCTTCAGCAATCTAAGTGGTATAGACCTTGTTCAATCAGGAGATATTTTGATGAAAAGCACTGTAAAGCTATCTGAATCTGAATGCATTACTATCCTCGATAAGATCGCGCGAGAGATGGATGATTACAATTGCTATCTTTATTAATAAACTCAAACAAATATTTTAATATACTACAGTAATATTTGAATATTTAACACTGTGCGTAGTTTAGGCGAAAGAAATACTACAAACAGAATCAAATGTCCAGGAGGTAAAATGTCCGGTGACTGTTTGTGGAGACGTTCATGGACAATTTCATGATTTGTTGGAACTCTTCAAAATGGGTGGCAAAGCTCCAGATACTAATTATCTTTTTATGGGAGATTATGTCGACAGAGGGTATCATTCAGTCGAAACAGTCACACTGCTAGTTTGTCTGAAGGTTTGTTTTTTTTTATTTGGTGGCCGTCATAATTTCATTGAATTCTTTTTGAATTGAATTGCATTGCAAAATTTTAATATGTTTTAGGTGCGTTATAAAGAACGTGTTACCATTCTACGAGGTAATCATGAGTCACGGCAGATTACTCAGGTACATTAGTTGTAAGAAATTTTCTGATATAGTAGTCGCCTTGTCTGGGTAGTTCATATAAATCTTTTTTAGAGATGTATTTAAAAAAAGTTATCTGTTGTAGATCTTATCAATATGGAAATATTAAACTGTTTTAGATAAAAAAAAGCTGCTTCCAGGTGTATGGTTTTTATGACGAATGCTTACGTAAGTACGGCAATTCAAATGTTTGGAAGTATTTTACCGATCTATTCGATTATCTCCCTTTGACAGCATTGGTTGATGGACAAATATTTTGTTTGCATGGTGGCCTTTCACCATCTATCGATAGTCTTGATCATATTCGTTCTCTTGATAGGCTTCAGGAAGTACCACACGAGGGTAATTGTTTTCTCTCAAGTTTTGTTCAATTTATCACTGTGCGTTTCTTGAACGATCTAAGTGTTTCTCGATCCCTTGTGATCTAGATTTTTTTAGTGGTCTTTATACATTATCAAGGAAATTATGTGTAATTTTTTGCAGGACCAATGTGTGATTTGCTATGGTCAGATCCTGATGATCGTGGGGGCTGGGGTATTTCACCACGAGGAGCTGGTTATACATTTGGGCAAGATATATCGGAAACTTTCAATCATGGTAATGGTCTCACACTAATTTCCAGAGCTCATCAGCTTGTCATGGAGGTATTTCTTAATTATTGGATTAAATGTGTACTTTTTTAGTTAATTTTTTTAAGCTTCATGAAAGATACTATGGTTTTTTGTTATTTAATATTTAGTCATGACAGTATCAAGCAATAAAAAAACATAGCACCATAACTAGTAGCATATTTAAAAAATAAATGTTCACTAATTAAGTTAATTATTTTTGTTCAAGTTCAGTATATTGTCATTCGATTTCATCATTGTCCAAAGTTTTTCGGGATCATAACTCATTATAAATTCACAGGGTTATAATTGGAGTCACGACCGGAATGTTGTAACAGTATTTTCGGCACCGAATTACTGTTATCGTTGCGCAAATCAAGCGGCAATGGTTGAACTGGATGATGAATTGCGATACTCATTCTTGCAGTTTGACCCAGCCCCGAGAAAAACGGAGACGAATGTCGTCCGACAAACTCCTGACTACTTCCTCTAACTAATCGGAGAATTATTCCAATATGAGCTTTTTGCCTATCTGTTCTGTTTTCAAAGTGAGAAATATTTCATAAAGCAAAGATTTTTGAACAGCACTCTTCTGTCTGATTGTAATAGGAAAATTTTCCGGTTTCTTCCGTTTCTTGCTGTTCTTTTATTGGATTTGAGAAAACTGGAGCTCGTACTAAAGACCATATACCCTCCAAAATAAATGTGAATGCAATTAATGAACTAGTAAGGCCTTCGAATTTGCAGTCTTAAGTTTTTAGTGGGATGTTACTTTAATGAAAACCGATTGTTGCGGATTCTCACACAAATTTAATTTGTCTTTCTTATTTCAAACAGTAATCCGTGTACTTGTGGGTATTTTTTTGTTCGATGAAATAAATCAAGATGTATGTGCTGCAATTCTTTCCTCAAATAAATTTTAATTTTATGAATTGTTCCGATTACAGAATAGGAATATCCACAAGGAACAAACAGTTTAAGGGTAGCCCTTGTTTCAGTTGATTTTCGCAATGAAAAAAATGGAAACCTCACTGCATCACTAGCTGAAATAAAGATGACAAAAGCTTATAGGTTGATAACAAGTAGCATTTTTTTTTTGCATTTGATCTTGAAGAACAAGGAAAATACGCAGAATCAGCTGACTCAAGGGCATCGCTGATCACCATTCTGTAAAAGTTACGGAAATTAATTAGACACCAATAACTGAAGAATCGGTATTTGTTATCAGTACATAAAACACAAAAATATCATATATTGCAAATCCCAATTGCGGCAATCTGCACTTAACTATAATCAGTAACGAGACTGTTTTTAAAAACAAGATTAAATCCTGCGCAACAAGATAACGGTGTGAGAAATTGGGTAAGAGCATGGAAAATGAAAGGGAGTGGACAGAATTAGTTGAAGTAACAAAATATTTTGTAAGATTTGCAGGATACATAACAGAAAAACAGGATTCTAGGCAAAGGGAAATGCACGCACTTTTTGTTTGAAATGTTTTAGGCGTATGAAACATGGGAACATTGAGGAACCAAAGAAATCGAAACTTCTAAATACCACACATAATTAAATTACATGGAACCGTTTAATCCACAACTGCGGATCTAAGGCAGCGTTGGTAGCGAGCAAATATTATTGCAGCGATATCGATATAAAAGTACCAAACACCAAAAATTCCCGGTAATTGGTACTATCGCTGCTAAAAGTTAATCATTTACACATGCGATTCGATTCGGCGGCAAAATGAAGGCGTTCAAAAGGCGTACGAAAACGAAGTAGAACAATAATAAACATATCAAAAGTTGTATGTGAATGATGATCAATGGCCATAAAACACACCGCACTAGGTGACATTGCAAAGAAACGGAAACACGTTTTAAGTAGCTCGAAGATAAGAAATACTAACAACGGAAATCACAAGCAAGGAAATGCAGTTGGTAAGAAAAAAATTTTACTTGACATGAGCCGAAAGTTTTTAAAATAAATGTGACTGGATTATGGTTACTTCTATAGTGTGCTTCTAAAGCTCAATAATATCCAAAATACATTGAAGAATTTGCAAATCATCAAAAATGCAACCAAAGGTAACAGCATTGAGAAATATACCCTCATAATTACTAAAATAAATAGAGAAAAGAATGTACTTTTCCCAAGTAAATTTTAAGTAGATCTGAAACGCTAATCAAGAGCAAAATAAATAAAGCAACTAAAGAAAAAAGGAAAGGGTAAGGCATATCAAAAAAGGAAGTTTATGGATGACTAACATAATTTGATATCGAATCGGAACCTAATTTGAATTGTAGGTCATGAAAATTGATGCTATCTTTTTAACCACTGATTATGAGTGCACTTTTGCGTATAATATGAAATGCAAAACACGAATACTACAGAATAGTACAATTCTTGTTTTTACCAGATGGTTTGGGTGCTATAACTGCTCGAACTGCTTCTTCAAATACCTGAAATATTTAACTTCTCTGAAATCATTAGTCTTTAAGAATTTTATTTCATAATTTTAAACATCATAAATTAAATAATTTCATCTCAAAATAGTTAAACTGATTTCTACTCTGGAAGCCTGGAGCGTTTTAAAAATTGCTAAGTCAGTGGAGAAAAAACAATGATTAACTCACAGCTTTCAGACCTTGCTGTGTCAAGGCACTACATTCGAGATATTTGACAGCTCTAATTCGCTTTGCAACTTTCTGTCCCTGGTTTTTAGTAACTGGCTGTTTTCCATCAGCATTCAGCTGCCTTAGAGTTTCCGGATCGTCCCGTAAATCCAACTTTGTTCCTGAAAACTAAATCCATCTCCCTTTGCATGATGCAGATTGAAGTGTGTGAATCTAACTATCACATTTTGGCAACTCTTTTGAACTTGAGTTTCAATTAAAAAGTTAATTAATGTTAACCTATCAACAAAATAGGTGCATCCGGACAGTTATGTCGTATTTCCGGTATCCACTTAGTCAACACATTATCGAAAGAAACCGGAGCAACTATGCTAAAACATAACACAAACACATCAGTTTGTGGGTAGCTCAATGGTCGGAGACGGTCGTAATCTTCCTGAAAACTATTGCCATTATCTTGAGTTTGTTTACAGAAGTATTACTAATTAGCAAAGAGAGTTCCAAAGAGCAATATAAAAGAAATAAATGAATGTCTTTACTTGTCCAGCGGTATCCCATAAACCTAAATTAACAGGATGTCCATCGACTATCATCTGTGCCGAAAAATTATCAAACCTGAAAAAATTTTATTTTAAAAGAGACGTGATACTACCTGTAACAATTTTTTGAACTTTGCTCGTATTTTCACAATCATAATACTTCACTGATCTACAATGTTTTGCATTTTACTCGAGATTTCTGTACTCAAAAAATAGCCATTGTTAGGAGTAATTAAAATATACGAGCGTACCTTTGTCACCTAAAATATAAAATGAATATATAAAATCGTCTATTAACCCAAATATCATGAAAAACCCTATCTGCTTTGGAATTTCAAACGAATTATGAAACAAGATCACTTTCAGTAAAACTCATAAAACATGCACGAAAATAGAAAAGGACCTCTTAGAATATACACTGAGTGGAAAAAGATGAATTTATACATAATGAGAAAGCTAACACAGTAGGAACATATTCGACTGGAAACGAATCGGTTGTATACGATATCAACATGCATGTTTTACCAACGGTACCATCACCAACCACAACACATTTGATTTGGCGTGAAGGCGCAGACATCAACGAAATACAATTGCTACCGGATTGTTGCCGTTTCCGAATAAAACATACAATGCCGAATCTAAAGGGATACTTCCTAAAAGAATAGAAAAAAAAAACTCAAAAATGTTAGATATATGAAGTTGCTGATGAGAAATCGATAATATTTCAAAAATGCTTTCATAATTGATACGATCTGCTGCATCCATCTCTTCCCATGTACAAACATTTACCCGTCCCATTTTCCCAATCACAATCAATTACCCGATCCGATCCACATTATACAATCAAACTAATATATTGCTGCAAAATTCAATAAATGTTAAAGTCGCGACATGAAAAAGGATGTCTCATCAAGTTGAGTTTGTAATTATTGCACAAATAGTTCTGTTTAAAATAATTTTCAAGGAAATGTTCGGTTAGCTGATTATTTTTTTATTTAAAATTTTTGGCGCAGAGTTAAATGCTTATTGTGTTAATTTTTAGTGAAGGCGTGCAAGAAAGGTGAATTATTTTTGTGTTAGAAGCTGAAAGAATAGAAATGATCTCTTTTACGAGACCAAATATCATAAATACTTGTAATTAGTCAAGTAGTTATTGAAGTTGAATTTATTTCATACATAATAAAATTTCTAGTTAAGTAAGAATAAAGTAGGATGGAGTGAGAGAGGCGATGAATTTGTCTCGTTCGGAAAATATATGAAAATTTGAAATTCCCGCATAATGACAAACTGCTAAATCAGTCTAATGTAAGTATGAATGAAAGTTCGTAATTTCGGATAGCATCATTACGACACGGTTTTGCATAATCGGAAGAGTAAGAAAGAATCAATAGGTGTTTGTCAATTATATATGATGATGCAAGTGGAAAAGGCATAGATTATTCGGGAAATGCTTCTTTTTACCTATTTGCCATTTCAGTTATTCAAATTTTGCAAAAATTGAATGATTCATGAAATCAATATCTTAAATGTATGCTTTTTAGCACATTCCTTTTCTGACAAAAAAAAAGAAAAATGAAATTCCGGATACTCATAGTTTCAGTTGGGAAAAAAAAGAAACGGACTGGTGAAGGCTTGCAAGAAGCATACATTCACAGCGTAGTATAAAAAATGTCTTAAAGAGTTGTAAGTATTGAAAAAGATTCAATATTTACTGGTAGAAAATAGCTAAAGATGGCAGGAAGAAAAACTGTGTTGGCTCACTAGCCAATTGTTAGCAATCGATCATTTGTCGATTCCTAGTTCTTTTCACTTCTACATTTCATTAATATTTAAAACTGGATAAGCATTTTAAATTTAGCCATGCTTATATTAATTGCTTAATCAGTTGAACACTTGAATGAATCACTTGTTAAGTGATTACTGATCAATCAGTAAATGCATTGTAAGCCAGCGGGAAATGTTGACATTTTTTGCTCAAATATAATTTTGCAAGCTTTCAAGATAAAACCCGCAAATTTTAAAATCTTGAAGTTTGAAAATCTCCCACTTACTAAACTATTCACAATAATATTATGCAGATAGTTTAAAATGCTTAAGTAATAAAACTTTTTACTAAATGATAAATCATTTTAAAGGTGCGAAGTACAGATGGGACATTGAGATGGAAAATATGATGTTATAAAAAAGAATAAGGAAAATTAATTTCCATAGAACAGAAAAAAAAATGCAATCGAGCGGATACTTTAAATTCAGGCAAATACATCACTGAATTAAAATAATGGAAAATTATCTTCACACTGTGATACTGTGATGTTATCAATTAAATAATTACTACTCTGAAATGTAGAAAGGATGGCATCAGTGCTCGCAAATATCATAACTTTCATAAAAGTAAGCAATTATAGGTAGGCATGTTTAGCAAATCTTAAAGTTAAAATCCTTAAAAATTCCTCTAAAAATAGTTTCGAAATAAGATGATGATTTTAGCAGTTCCAGCAAAAAATTATTGGCTTGTCATCAGATAATGCTTATCAAATGTTATTCAGCGTTGAATACAATGATATCCAAAACTTCTCAGACTAAAAATATTCTAATCGCAATTTCAAGAAAGATAACTGACTCATCAAAAAATATGCGAGGAATGATCTCGGAGCGCTTTTCTACATTCCTATAATATTCCACAGATATCGAGCATAAGTTTAAAATATGCTTAATCAGAGCATTATCATCAGGAAATCTCAATTTTAAGACGTTCTTAAAAATTAATTTTTGCATCATTTCGTAGATATTGCAATTGTAATTCAACCTTCGAATTATTAATTATTAATTGTTAATTAATCATAATCGCAATGGAGATGATGCATATCACGAATAGACAAACAATTGATAGAATTCAACAATTAATGAACTTTTTTTTATAATTTGACAATTAAATCATTTACAAATTACATTAGGAAAATTATGGCGTTTTATGAGGACTGTCGAAAGTCGTAAGAAATATTTAAATTATTTTTAATATACTAGAAAATCACAATAAGAAACTGACTGTAATGCGAAGTTAACACATTATATCACATCCGTTCATGAAGGGAAATTAAATGGAGATAAATTAAAGAATTGAGCTTTAACCAAATTTAAAACAATAAAAATTGGATTCTGATATACAGCAATGGAAAATGGAAAGTGTAGGAGAAAAGAACAGTGAAAATTAAACTCTGCTAAAGATAGCTTTTTTGGCAACAAAAAAAAAGAGTGGAGCAGATTATCAGTTTGCAAGAAAGTCTAAAGAAAATAACAAAAAAAAAAAATATTGATTAATAATTAAGATTTACTGTTAAGTTTATAGCAAAAGAAATAAGAGAAATTGCAGACTTTATTAGTAAGAATAATTGAACAAATGATAAGAAAAGTTTTAGTGAATATTTGAAATGATAGGAATGAACAATCAATAATGCTATTGCTCTCTTTAACAAATGTTTTATTTCACTTCAATTCAATTACAATCAGTCATAACAATTCAAGAAATGAAATTTTGCATAAGAAATGCGATCTTACAGTAATTGACCGATATGTTATTTAGTATTTGTTTGAGATTGTTCTTTTTTTATTAATATATACTGCTGACAAGGAAAAGAAAAGAGCATAAATATTGCAAAATACTAAAAAATTACAATTATTGTTGAAAGCGGTCAAATTAGTGAGCGGTTTTTTTAAAAACTTCAGCTCGTTACAACATTTGAGCTTTCATGATATTATGAGATGAGATGAACTGATAAGTAAAATGTTATAAGCATCTTAGGTCATATAGTTTAATTAAATTTGTTAAGTATTTATTTTAAAAAAACTGATGAATTCGTGTGGCACAAACTCATTTTTGATAGAAAAGTTTTTTAAAGATATGTCAGAAGATTGCGATGCAGCAGAGCTTTTGCTGAAAAAATATATTTATGTTAGTTGTATTTATTTAATTTTAAATGCATGTTATTTTCATTTGATATTTAAAATATTTTTTTTGTTTAAAAATGAATGAAAAACAGAGGAAGTAAAATGAAACCTAAGTTGTATATCTGTGATCAAATCAATGACGCTGAAATAATTTAATTGGAATTATGCTAAAACTTATAAGCGATGAAAAAATGATGGTTAGATGACATAATTAAAAAAGATGGATGTTAAGGTTGTGTGAAAACAATCAAATCACTTTTTAAATTGATAAGATCAGTAATAATGTTTTCAAACCAATTTTTTTTTTAGTGGATATTAGTGTTTCAAAAATATCTTAGGTAATGCATAAAACTTGAAAATGCTAACAATGAAAATTAAATTCTACAGAAATGATTGAATATAAAAATAGGAAATGATTAAATATTTGTGAGTAAATGAATATCAACATAAAGGGGAAACGTTAACGTGGTGTATTCTCTTTTTTTTGATGTATTATTTATTACAGTCCGTCATTCGAAAAGAACAAATTAGAAGAATTTTTTTTTTTTCCGTCATTCGAAAAGAACAAATTAGAAGAATTTTTCCAATTTGCTAATTTAAATTAGAAATTTCTGAATGTATTAATACTAATAAATTTAATAGCACATTCAGGATATTAGTAGATTTAAATTTTATTTTAAGATGCCACCGCAAAAAAGTTTGATAGCCGAATTGTTGAAGAAACAAACGGAAGTGGAGCAAACGGAATGTGAATCATCTATAAGCCCGTATGCACTGGAAAGCTCATACTATAACCTTGACCTGCAAGTTAGTATAAGTCTTAAGTCTTCAATTCATGAATGAAAGAAAAAATGCAATCTTTAATAATGGAAATGATTTCATAAATGTTTATAGGATGATGTAAAATTGTCACAATCGATGACTGCCACTTTTTCAAATATCACCGATCAATTTTCCGTTTCTTCGGAAAACACTCAAAAGTAATGTTTGAGAGTTTTAAGAATTAACTATAGTTTAGTTCAGATCACCATTGCATTATTCCTATATTTGAAGAATATTTCCCAGATCATTTTGAATGAAAAAAAAAAGAAATTAAAAATAAACTAATGTAGATCAGAATCAGTCATCAATGTGAGAAAAAAGTTTGCTTAATTAGATATTTAGATCTTTTGTACCTCAAAATTTTCAGAACAACAACTTTCGATTCGGACAATTTGACAAACCATCGATGCAATTCATATGAAAGGTTCAAATTTTAAAAATTTTCACAAATATTTTAAGAAACTGGGATTATTTCCTTCCATCAAGTCCATTCTTTTCTAATAGACATCTGCTTGGTTGTTTTGAATTCGATGTTTCTAAATAAATCAACTTGAATGAGAATTTCGGCAAAAATATTTATTTCGTAGGAAGAATTAAATAGAACGGTTTATCTACCAATGTGCTAACTTTTTTCGAATTGTACTGAATGATTTGCGTAATTAGATATTTAGATCATTTTTACCCCAAAATTTTTTTTTTTTCATAGAACGGTTTAGCTACCAATGTGCTGACTTTTTTCGTGAAATAAATTTGTGCTGAATGATTGTGTTTGATAAATCAATTACTGAATGAAATAATTTACCAAGCTCAACTAAAGTATTAAATTTATTCTCAAGAATGCAAAGAGGTGTATTAGGATGGGCTGGGAGAACTCATTAATAAAAGCAAAAAGTAGGTTTTCAATGATCACCAGTGCTTTTAAACTGTTCAACAACTGTAATATTTTTTAAGCAATACCTATCAGCATTCACTGCGCAACACAAAAATGATGTATCACGATTTTTTGGAACTCAGTGATTCTGGTTCCGCTGAGCTACCTACTGGTGCTTCTCGTAATTCTTTGAATTCGCATGATGCATTCGAAATTTTTGCATGGAATCAAAGTAATTTTTCCCAATTAAAGGTTT